TCTTTCTTTACAGGCTTTGTTTTTCCTCTTTTCTTTCTTTCTTTCTTTCTTTCTTTCTTTCTTTCTTTCTTTCTTTCTTTCTTTCTTTCCAGGGTTTGTTTTATTGCCTCTTTTCTCATCTTGCTTTTCATTCTTTTATCTTTTTCCTTTCTTTCTTTCTTTCTTTCTTTCTTTCTTTCTTTACAGGCTTTGTTTTTCCCTCTTTTCTTATCTTGGTTTTCATTCTTCTTTCTTTCTTTCTTTCTTTACAGGCTTTGTTTTTTCTCTTTTCTTTCTTTCTTTCTTTCTTTCTTTCTTTCTTTCTTTCTTTCTTTCTTTCTTTCTTTACAGGCTTTGTTTTTTCTTTTTTTCTTTCTTTCTTTCTTTCTTTCTTTCTTTCTTTCTTTCTTTCTTTCTAGGCTTTGTTTTTTCCTCTGTTCTCATCTTCTTTTTCATTTTTTTATCCTCTTCATTTTCTTTCTTTTTTCTTTTGTCCACTGCTTTCTTTATTTTGTCCACTCTTTCTTTCTTTCTTTCTTTCTTTCTTTCTTAGCATTTTTCTTTGTTTCTTTTATAGCATTTTCTTTCCATTCATCCTCTTTCGAATTATGCTTTTCCGTTTTCCTTCCCATATTTTTCACAATCTTGTTTATAGTTTAAATGTTATCTAAATCTTTGCCAATGGCTGACAACTGTTGTCTCACACACACACACACACACATACACACACACACACACACATGTATGTATGTATGTATGTATATGGGTGTGTGTGTGCATCTATAAATGTATGCGTACTACGAGGCTCTTATTGAGTGTGATCTCTGTCAGCCATTTCTCGCGAGAGTCACGTCTGACTGCGTTAACTTGCTCCCGTTCGGTTGGGATCATGTAGGTGTATCCTTGACGGTCAGTGATAGCGAGTAAAGTCTCAGCTTCATTTCGCTCAGTCGATGCGAGGATTAACGAAAAGGATTGCCAACACGTGAGGTAGGTATAGATTGGTATCAATATTTGCAGTAGAAAGCATTTATTGGCACTAAGGATTTTCTTTTTTGCTGAGATCTTAATGGCAGAGATCACTAATGAATTCAAGCATGAAAAAGATATTTTGAACAAACCTTTCATGTTCAATTGCCTCTTCAGTCTCCATTCATTTTTATCTCTCCATCTATTATCTCTCTCTCTCTTTTTTTATATATATATATATATATATATATATATATATATATATATATATATATATATCTTTCCTCATCGGTAGCACGACTCGAAGTTTCATGCACAACGAAACCTTCAGGTGCTGCGCAGTGGCCATTTAATAATTTAAATTTTAATAAAATATCTGGTTAACGTAATGTTGGTGCAGTCCATGTATTAATCGTGGTTTACAGGCTTTTATTTTAAATATATATATATATATATATATATATATATATATATATATTTCTTTTAAAATAGACGGGATTTATATTTTATATTTGAAATAAACGGTGACTAATGGTTTTAAAATGGAAATAAAAAGATTGCGCCACCAAGATATTTTTATTCAAATTTAAATTATCTAACGATCAATCTCTCCTCAGCACCTGAAGATTGCGTTGTTCTTGAAACGCTGAATCGTGCTATCGGTGAAGAAATATATATATACAGAAGAGAGAGAGAGAGAGATGAGGAAAAAATCTATATTTCTTAATATATATATTATATTATTGTTATGGTGGAACACACCTATTCTATAGTTAATAGACTCTCCCACCTATAATAAGTAGGATTAGTAAGAGTAACGAGTTAGTCAGTCAGTCAGTGAGTCGATGTCGGACGACAGTTAGTCGAATACGAAAGTATCAGCGACCACAACTAGATTACTCTGCCTTATAGATATTATATCAAGTTCCTAACGTTTTGTACGTCGAACCTATTTTAGGGTCGACTTAGTACAAGCCTCCACTGCGAAATAACTCCACAACAATTATACATCGAGTACGATTTTATTAACACCAGCACTTCATGAGCGATATTATATATATATATATATATGCGGTACTTACTGGAAAGTGGTCAATATGAGTGATAGAGCTAACATTTGTCTGATGATTGCAAAAGCGTGAAACCCAGAGTCAGAAACTCATAGGCATACAAATAAATAAATATATATATATATATATATATATATACAAACATAGTACGATGGGTAAATTACCGCCATTTTATATTTTTACTTTTGCGCATGCGCGTTATTTGCCTTTGTTTTAGCCGATTGCACAGTATAGTAGGGTTAGTTGGGCACTGTCTGTGAGAAAAAAAGAGCACAATGATGATCCTCGCCAGAAATCTAGAAACGGCATGCTCTACTGGAAGCTCCTCCTATGCGATTCAAAATGTTTGTGTCTCAATCTGAGGACATTGCAGAGGATTTAGAAAGGGTTGGATAAATCTAATGAGGATTACGAAGGTGTTTGGAGTGGTCACTAGTGATGGCGACGTTATGCGTCCATTCATCTTCAGACTCAACACAGAGGCCTACATCAAGTGCCTTGAGGAAGTAGTCCTGCCCTGGGTCAAGAGGGTGGCTTCTGGAAGACCCTATGTCTGGCAAAAGGACTCTGCACCAGGCCACACAAACCAAGGCTGTCATACTATTTCTGCGGCCATATCACCCGTTGCATCTGTCTACCTACCCCCCCCAGATTGCAACACCCTCGATTATTATGTGTGGGTCTATATTTTAAAAGTAATTTTGAACTTTTTTATTAGTGTATAATAGTTTTATTAGTGTATAATGGTTTTATTAGTGTATAATGGTTTTATTAGTGTATAATAATGTATAGTGCCGGTTTTTGTAAGTACGGGCGACCATACATGAACTTATCAAAAAAAATAAAAAAATAAAAAAACTACAGTAAATTTAAAGCCAAAATTTCTAAAATTCAATAAAACATTAGATTACAGAGAATATTTCCCAAATTTTAAACATTGATGACTCTGTGAAAAAAGGCTTTCAGGTTGGAAAATAATTTGTCAGTAATAAATCTTAGACTGATTGCCACCTAAGACGAGAGATCACAGTCTTCTTTGTTATTTAACCCATAGTTGGGGAAAAAGAGCTCTATTCTGTCTTCCCCAAGTGTGAAAGTGAACGCAGCAAAGCTTCCCAGAATTTGAACTCCGGCCGCTGATATCACTTTCTGCGCCGATAAGCGTTACAATACCCACACATCCACATCGGATATTGTTTGAAAAATGTAGATTGTTTGTTAATTCAATAAGATATGGCATTCACCGAATTTCGTTTCCTTTTTTCTTTTTTCTTTTGTTTTAATTTTCATTGAAGCATTTGTCTTTTTTTTTTCTTTTTTTTTCTTAACAGCCGGAAAAGTGAGTTACACTTTTATAATAGTTTGTCAAGTAAATATGTTGAATTGATTGTCAATGTCAAAAGGTATGATGGCAAAACAATATGGACAACTTCCTTACTGGTTGATTTTATGTAATCCAGACAAAGGAAGTCATCAATCACGATGGCCCGGAGACGTTTTATTCACTTGTTATTGGCTTCATTTTTGCAGAACATTGGTTCACATATTATAAAGCTATAATAATAATAATAATAATAATAATAATAATAATAATAATTATCATTATTATTATTATTACAAAATAATAATAATAATCACTATTATCATTATTATGAAATTAATAATAATAATTATTGTTATTATAAAATAAGTGTAATTATTATACGCACTGCGATGTAAATGAATAACGGCACGATATGAGAAACCGGAGAGCCGAGTTCGAATTCCAGTCGGGTTCACTTCATTCACTTACGTGCAAATAATCTTCGGAAAGGTATGAATCCATCTCTTCTCCCCAGCTATGGGTTGAATAGCAGGACAGACTGGGTCCTATCACCTTGGTTGGCAACCAGCCTTCAACAAAAAGAAACTGCAGCCTACTGCGGGAACATCTTCTGCCTAGTCAGTCACGAATCGAAAGAGACACAAACGACCAAGCATGTATCACGTATGGCTAAATAAATTATAAACCAATTACTATTATTATTCTTTTTAACAATTTCACCCCAAGCAAGGCAATAAAGCCACTAAGACACAGGGGGTTTACTGAGAATAAGAAATAGAAAAAAAAAACATTATTAAGGAGCAAGAACAATAAACGAAGAACCAAGAACACAGAAGATAACGATTGACATTGCATTTAATTTTTTTAAAGCTCAAAGTTGACTGGAAAGCATGGAGACGGAGGTGAATACCACAGACGAGAAGTGCGAGAAAAAAACTGTAAGCAAAGAACTTACTCAGGGATTGGACTCGCAAGGACAAGACAGATCGCTGGCACCTCCTGCTTATCATCTACGTTTGCAAGAACCAGATCATTTAGGAATATCTATGCTGATGGTACACCGGTATATGGGAGCAGCTCCAAAACTCTAGACGACCTTAGATATAAACATCGAACCGAAAAAAAACCCGCCTCATGGATTTAATAAAGGGTTCAGTTCCAAATTCCTTGAAGGTTACCTAAATCGACAAGTACATGAAGAATGTTGGATGGGGTCAACGAAATGGTTGTCTGCTTCTTTTTATTAGAAGCCATTTTAGGCAATTCTCTCTCATCTCTTGAAATGAAGACATTATTTCTCCCAGATATAACTTTTCTGTCTGCTGATCCACTTTTAACATTCTATTCGACAATTCTAGCAATAAGAATGTCAAGTGAATATTCAAATTTCTCCAGCTTCTTGATCCTCAAAATGCTGTAGACTTACGGCCATATCAAGTTGAAACACCGGTTCTGGTCAATACCTACATGGGTGACCGCTTGGGAATACAAACTGCAGTAAGATGTGCAGGTGATATGGCTTACGGTCATATGGCGTTCAAACACCAGTTCTCGTATAGTCACTGAAGTTAAGCAATATCAAGCCTGGTCAATACCTAGATGGGTGACCGCTTATGAATATCAACTACTGTAAACTTGGGCGTGCAGATGGTAGGGTTTACAGTCATATCAGGTTGAAAGACTGGTTCTCGTACGATCACGGAAGTTAAGCAACATCGAGTCTGGTCAATATCGAGATGTGTGACAAGTTGGGAATACCAGTTGCTGTAAGCTTGGATGTGCGTGTGGTGCAATGGATAACGGCTCCGAATTGGAAATCGGAGAGCCGAGTTCCAATTCCAGTAGGATTCGTTATATTCTCTTACGTGCTAATCCCTTGGGAAAGGTGTGAATCTGCCTCTTCTCCTCCCAGCTCTGGTTTAATCAGTAGGACTCGTATCAGTAAATCATTATTATCTCTCAAAAACTTTTACAATGTAAAAATATTTGAAATAACTTGCAAAAGGTTGATAAGCCGTAAAAAAACAAATCAATAAGTCAATTCGAAAGCTGTCCGTTCATCATAAAATGAGGTAATTTATTCTTTCTTAGAGGGTGATAACTGATTAATCTTTCTTTTGTCAGTCATTAAGTCTAAAATAAATATGTTAGATCTTGTACGATAATTACTGTATTTTCCGGTTTATAAGACGCATCTTTTTTTTCCTCAAACGTACCCTGAAAAATATGTGCGCGTCTTCCAAGATGAATGTAAGGCAACGTCCAAGCTCAATTAAGCTTGGACGGTCACGTAATTGATTGATAGGGACATAGATTTGTATGTGGAGTCATTACACTATAATGTTAGCTATTTATTTAATTCAGACTTTTATATGATGTAACCTTAGTACTTTTACAAGTATTTCCAAGACTATAAACCTTCCTGGAGCCGAGCCACAAACTTAAACATGCTCTGTTTACTAGCAGCGGCGGGAGCCTTTCTGCTCTTGACTCATTAACATACAAACAAAATCGTGATTAAAGTAAATAATATGTGGCATCAGTATGTGAGGAACGTATGATGAATGTTTTATTTTATCAGAATAACTTTTTTTTCTTCGAAATTTCTTTCTAATATTAGGGTGAGTCTTTCAAGTCGCAGCGTCTTGTAAGCTGAAAAATACGGAATATATAAAAGAAAAAAATAGTCAAATGCGAAAATCAGTCGTGTTCCTGGATGAAGAAGCAGAATTTGGGAAGTTTTTTTTTTATTTTAATGAAAACATATTGAAAATTAAGAATTCGGTTGATAAAAAGAACAAACTAAAATCAATTCTTTGAACTTTGAACTTACCCGAAAAATAAACGTTGCAAGACGGTTATAATCACGAAAAGTATGCGTAAATAATTTTTCAAAGCCAGTGAACGAAATTTGGGAAAATTAAAAATATTAAAAAAACAAAAAAAAAACAAACAAAAAAACAACAAACATTTGATTATCCTGTTTTATTTTTATCTTTCATTTTTTTTTTTTTATTTAATATGTAAACAAGTTCTTACAGGAGTTAAATTTTAACAGAATAACCAAGAAATCATGAATAATGAGAGAAGGAAAAAAGTCAAAGATTTTAAAAGTATTTTATTTTTTCCAGATGGCCGTTAGTTTACTTTTACACTCATTGCTTCCTTCAACCAAATATATATATATGCATATATATATATATATATATATATATATATATATATATATATATATATATATATATATATATATGATGTGATAAACCATTTTCGATTCTCACCCATCCAAGTACAGTTGAAATGCACTGAAACGAAGTTACATCTTTGTAGTGAGTAAAATGGTTTTGTCTACATGATAAAATTATATATATATATATATATATATATATATATATATATATATAAATAAAGAAAGAACAGTAAGATATATAATCCGGTGTTCTTATTGATATTTTCTATTTTTATTTTTACAAAACAGTGCTCAATGTAAATTTACAGACCATTAATATTATAAATTAACTGATTGAAAATATGTTTTTTCGCTACATAGTAATAACCACATTTCAAAAAGTGAAGATAATAACTTCAAATTTAATTATTTAATTAAATTATATATATATATGTATATATATATATATATATATACATAAACATACACACACACACACACACATATATATATATGAGTGTGTGTGTATATACATATATATATATAAACGGTTAATGATCAGAGTTGAATCATACTAGGAATCAGTAGTATTAATATGTGCTCAATACACATTTAAAAAAAAAAAACAAGAGTAAAAATAACCTGTAGAGCCTTTAACTTTAGAAATCAGGTGATCAATTGTATCCGCTACCTGGGTTTCAACCTTACGTCATTCTCAGGTGATTTTTTATCAAATGACTACCTAACGCCTTTTTTATTTATTTAAAAAAGAAAACTAAAGAACGCTACATTATTATTTTCAAAAATAAATATACTGTAATTTGGGGATTAAAATTTAAAATTTGGGGATATAAATAAATAAATAAATAAATAAATATATATATATATATATATATATATATATATATATAATTATTTATTTAAAAATATGATTCCAACTCGCGACATAAGAGGTCTCATGTTTCAAAACAAGAGCCGAAAACTTCAATATAATTATTTGAATTAAATTGAGTTAAGGTAAGCTCTGTTCCATCTTCAAGCGAAATTTTTTTTTTGAATAACGTATTTCTGAAATTTACGTGTTTTAATAATTGAAATCAAAATTTCTATGGTAACAGCTAGGGCGAATTGTTTAAATTGGGTAGGCGTGTGTTAGATGTTAATAATAAGTATCAGTATAGAGTTACTTTCATAGATGTCAAGTCAGGGAAAGGTGGGGGTGTCTAAATTTGAAACGGAAGATGTATTAACCCTAGTCTGGTATGCTTGTCTATGGAGATTTATTTATTTTTTCTTTTATTTTTTTATGAAAGGGATTAGTGCATATAAAAAAAAAACTGCTGTAACGTTTTTTTTTGACGACTTCATAAAGGGTTATCTTTTTTGTAGGGTATTTAAACTATTTATTTGGGCTATGGATTATGAAAGTTATTATATTGTATGCTTGTTCTTAGATAATTTTTCAGACCATGAATCTAATGATTGGGCTATGGATTAATCAAGTTATTATATTGTATGTTTGTTTTTAGCTAATAATTCAAACCATAAATCTGATGATGTCGACAGAAAACCGTTAACTCATATCTATTGTTTAATAGATTATTATTATTTAGAAGCTTTATAATGTGCAATTTCTCATGGAGGCACAAAGGGCATGGGTCATCGCAAATTTTACATGTTCTAGCACTGTATATATATATATATACTAGAAAGAACGGTGAAAATTTCCGTTTTCCTATTTTAATTTTCTGATTTCTCTTGATTCTTAAGTTACTGATTAAATAAGCTCAGCGCGAGGTTTACGACAATAAAATATCCGTAGAAAATTTCCTATCGCATTGAAATTTAAGAAAATATTGGAATAACAATGCTAAATATGAATTCTGGTCGTTATTTTAAGAAGCAAGTATGAACAAATGAAATGATTTGAAATTGACAACTTACATTTACACTTGATTCTTACATTTTATCACTGATATCAAGTAGCGTCACTGATATATCTTTTCTGTTTTTCCACACGATCAGAAGAGAATAGTTCATTCTTCTCTCTCTCTCTCTCTATCTATCTATCTATCTATCTATATATATATATGTGTGTTCATTGAATACGACAGACAAGGTACTTTTATTTAGTTTTTTATACAATTTCTCATGCGATCGAATAATTTTTTTCCCGGATGATAAATTATATATATATATATATATATATATATATATATATATATATATATATATATATATATATATATATCTATGAATCAAAACAAAAGGAAAACCTTTCTTTGCTTACGCATCTTGATGAACTTTATCAAGGCAAATGTAAAGGATTTTATGTTGCAAAAGAAAATCTCTCTCTCTCTCTCTCTCTATATATATATATATATATATATATATATATATATATATATATATATATATATATATATCAGCGCAAGTAACACGCATATACATGCATATACATAAAGAATTAATATTTTTTTCCAAAACTGTATCGCTGTAATATTTTTCTTCAAAAAATCTATTGCTATTAATATTTTTCTCAAAATATATAGCTGGCAATAATTTTTTACAAAAACATATTGCTGGTATTAAAACCGATTTTTACACTTTCATAATGTTTTGGCCTCAGTTTCGGGGTTAACTATTTGCCCACAAATGGGACCCTAACGGGTACTACCAGCAATTAAGAGGTGGATCCAAAACCTCCTGATTAGAGGCCTTGCTGTCGGACGTAGTTTATCGTCTTATCCAGGACGCGGATATAGTTTATTGTCATGCCCAAGACGGTATGTGTGTGTGTGTGTGTGTGTGTGTGTGTGTGTGTGTGTGTGTGTGTGTGTGTGTGTGTGTGCGTGTAGTATCGACAGTCTGATTCATGCTTAACCGCAATCTCTAGGACAGAACATAGCGTTTAAGCATCAAAACGACTGTTGCTGCTGGTTGTTGATATTCAATGCCCACTTTTATATTTACATAGGCTCTATCCCTTATATTGAGCACTTTAACCCATGAATATATAGCTTATCTTAAAACTATATTTTCATCCTATGTTTCTTGTTTGATATGCATATATATATTTTTGGTCTTTATAAAAATTTGTCTTATCGGTCTGCCCTATCTATCTATCTATCTATCTATCTATCTATCTATCTATATATCGAATATATATATATATATATATATATATATATATATATATATATATATATATATATATATAGTTGAAAGGATACGAGATTGTGACCGTCCGTTTCTGCGCTTATGTGGTATGAGAGACACAAACTCGTAACCTTTCAATCTATATCTATCTATATATATATATATATATATATATATATATATATATATATATATATATATATATATTATACATACATACATATATATATTATTTTTTCTTTGTTAAATATATTTTTGTTTCATATGTATATATATATATGTCTGTGTATCTGTTAAATATAAATATTTATTTTGCTTTTCTTTCTGTCTGTCTGTCTCTTTCTACATACACACACACACACATATATATATATATTACTTTTTCTCTTTGTTAAAATTTTTCGTGTTTCATATATATATATATATATATATGTGTGTGTGTGTGTGTGTGTGTGCGTGCGCGTGCGTGCGTCTGTTAAATATAAATATTTATTTTTCTTTTCTTTCTGTATGTCTGACTGTCTGTCTCTCTCTCTCTCACTCTCTCAATATATATATATATATATTACTTTTTCTCTTTGTTAAATATAATTTTTGTCTGTTAAACATAAATACTTATTACTCTTCTCTGTGTGTGTGTTCTCTCTCTCTTTCTCTCTCCATCTATCTATCTATATATATATATATTTATATAGATATTACTTTTTCTTTTTGTTAAATATTTTTTGTTTCATATGTATATATAATTTTTGTCTGTTAAATATAAATATTTATTTCTCTCTCTCTCTGTACATATATATATATATATATATATATATATATATATATATATATATACGCGCACAGGCATATGTACACATACATAAAGAGGGGCTGCAAGCGCATATGTGCATTCAGTCGGCTATTCAGTCATGCTCTGATGAACAACTGCAGTGTTATTTATAACCATTTATCGACAAATTATACTTAACACTTTACGCCCCCTCGGTCCCTCCCCCCTTCCAGAAGCGCTCTTTTCTTCGGCAAGTCTATCACTTCGAACCTCGCCCGCTCTTTTCAAATCATATCAAGTGATGATTATGCAAATCTTGTCGCGATTCTGGTGCAAATTAATTAACTGCGAAATCGGATTATGGATTTTCCGCATCGGTTAGTTTCGCCTTTTATTTTCTTTCTTGTTTGTTTGGTTTGTTAACTCTCCTCTTCCTTGTTGGTTGACAAAGAACCAGTAGCGTTCATCTTTCGAATGGTGCGCTATTCTATATTGCATTTTCTCCGCCATCTAAAATATGAATACGCAGATCCTCTATCTGTGATTAGGATATCGAACGCCTACTTCATAGAACAAAAACGAGGAAATAAAGGTAAGAACTAATAAGGAGCATATATATATATATATATATATATATATATATGGTATAAACAAGATTCTAAAGAAACCCTTAACATAATTAGAATGGCAATAAACAAGAGTAAGTAGGAAATAAAAAGAATCAAAGATGAAAATAAATGCAAGTATAGAATCGATTAAGCCATTAAACAGGTTCGAATGTTCGGATGAGCGGGAAAACAGAGACAGGAACATGGAGGTAAAACCTGTGCATATCTGGTTGCATTTCGTTAACTTCTTACGATGAGAGAGAGCCTTAGAGAAAATGGAAGAAAAAGAAGAGGAAACGGAGGAAGAATAAAAAAACACACACATACATGTATAAAAGTTCGAGGAAAAGTAACGAAATAAGGAAAAAAGGAAAGAAGTTGACAGAAGAAATTTCGAAAGAGAATGTGAATAAGAAAAAAGAAAGAAAGAAAGATAAGAGAGGCAGACATGATGAATGAAGAAAGAAAGAAAAAAGAAAATTAAAACGATACAGGAAAGAAAAAAAAAACGAAACTAAGGAAAACGAAGAAAAAGAAAAAAAAAAGAAATAAAGATAGGCAGAAATGATGAATGAAGAAAGACAGAAAAAAAAGAAAATGAAAAAGATAGAAAAAAGAAAAAAAACAGGTAAGACGCAAAGAAAAACGAAGACGAAGAAAAAAGAAAGAAAAAAGAGAAGATAGGCAGAAATGTTGAATGAAGAAAGAAAGAAAAAAGAAAAAGAAAAAGGAACAGAAAAGAAAAGAAACAAAACAAATACGAAACAAAGGAAAACGAACAAAAAAGAAAAAAAGAACGAAAAAAGAGAAGATAGGCAGAAATGATGAATGGAGAAAGAAAGAAAAAAAGAAGAAAAAAAGAAAATGAAAAATAACAGAAAAAAAAAAAAAAAAAAACAAAATGAAACAAAAAATAACAAAAAGAAAAAAAAAAAGAAGAAGGCAAATATGAAATGAAGAAAAAACAAACAAAAAGAGAATGAAAAAGAAACAGAAAATAAAAAAAAACAAATAAGAAACAAAGAAAAACGAAGAAAAAGAAAGATAGGCAGAAATGATGAATGAAGAAAGAAAGAAAGAAAAAAGAGAATGAAAAAGAAACAGAAAAGAAAAAAAAACAAATAAGAAACAAAGAAAAACAAAGAAAAGAAAAAATGAAGAGGCAAACAAACAAATAAAAATATAATAAAAAAAAAAGTAACAAACAAAGTAAAGTTAATTGACGAATTTTACGACATGTTGGTTGTTGGGTCATTTAATGTCGAAATCTGTTTTTATTATAATTGAGACTAAAAGTAAACACTGGGCGAGTCTCACGGTAACCACTGAGTTTATACGTTAGTCTATAAGTGACATTGGACGGATTTATATTTGAGTCGGTAAACATTTACCTAAAAGGGTGGCTCCTTTTGTTTCGTGTGTATGAGATGCAGTCGGCATATTTTAACCCACGTCGACAAAGGAAGTAACAGATTAAGCTTTGGAATAAGATTCAAGAGTCAGTGCTCCGTGTTCAATGCGAAGTACCAACAGTTAGAATGCCGATTTTCAAGGCCAGCCGAACGTCTTGACTTGGGTACAACGCAATCTTAAGGAAGAAACGAGAGAGAAAACAGTGAAAGACGAGAAAGAAAGAAGAAAAGAGGAAGAGATGAAGAAAGAAGAAAAGTGGAAGAGACGAGGAAAAAAAAAAGAAAAGGGAAGAGATGAAGAAAGAAAAAAAAGAAAAGGGAAGAGATGAAGAAAAAGAAAAGAAAAAAGAGGAAGAAAGAGAAAAGAAGAAGAAAGAAGAAAGAAGAAAAGAGAGATGAAGAAAGAAGAAAAGAGGAAGAGATGAAAGAAGAAAAGAAAAAGAGGAAAGATGAAGAAAGAAGAGAGAGGAGAAAGAAGAAAGAAGAGATAAAGAAAGAGGAAAAAAGAAAGAAAGAAGACGAGGGAAGATGAAGAAAAGAAGAAAAGGGAAGAGATGAAGAAAGAAGAAAAGGGGAAGAGACGAAGAAAGAAGAAAAGAGGAAGAGATGAAGAAAGAAGAAAAGAGGAAGAGATGAAGAAAGAAGAAAAGAGGAAGAGACGAGGAAGAAAGAAGAAAAGGGGAAGAGACGAGGAAGAAAGAAGAAAAGGGGAAGAGATGAAGAAAGAAGAAAAGAGGAAGAGACGAGGAAGAAAGAAGAAAAGAGGGAAGAGATGAAAGAGGAAGAAGAAAAAAGAAACAGGGAAGAGACGAAAAAGAAAAAGAAGAAAAGGAAAGAGGAGAAAAAAGAAGAAAAGAGAAGGAAGAGATAGGAAGAAGAAAAAAAAGAAGAGACGAAGAAGAAAAGAAGAAAAGAGGAAGAGATGAAGAAAGAAGAAAAGAAGAAGAAAAAGCAGAAAAAAGAAAAGTGGAAGAGACGAGGAAGAAAGAAGAAAAAGAAAGGGAAGAGATGAAAAGAAGAAAAGGAAGAGACGAGAAAGAAAGAAGAAAAGGGGAGAGAAGAAAGAAGAAAAGAGGAAAGAAGAAAAAGAAAAAAGAAGGAAGAAAAAAGAAAAGGGAAGAAAAGAAAGAAGAAAAAGAGGAAAAAGAAGAGGAAGAGGAAAAGAAGAAGAAAAAGGAAGAAGAAAAGTGGAAGAGACGAGAAAGAAAGAAGAAAAGAGGAAGAGATGAAGAAAGAAGAAAAGAGGAAGAGACGAGGAAGAAAGAAAAAAAGGAAGAGACGAGGAAGAAAGAAGAAAAGAGGAATAGACGAGGAAGAAAGAAGAAAAGAGGAAGAGATGAAGAAAGAAGAAAAGAGGAAGAGACGAGGAAGAAAGAAGAAAAGAGGGGAAGAAGAAGAAGGAAAAAAAGAAGAAGAGACGAGGAGGAAAAAGAAGAAAAAAGAAAGAAGAAAAGGAAGGAAGAAAAGGGAAGAGATGAAGAAAAAGAAGAAAAGAGGAAGAGACGAGGAAGAAAGAAGAAAAGGGGAAGAGATGAAGAAAGAAAAAAGGAAGAGACGAGGAAGAAAGAAGAAAAGAGGAAGAGATGAAGAAAGAAGAAAAGAGGAAGAGATGAAGAAAGAAGAAAAGAGGAAGAGATGAAGAAAGAAGAAAAGTGGAAGAGGCGAGAAAAAAAAAGAAGTCGAGAAAGAGAAAAGAGGAAGAAAAGAGGAATAGAAACGAGGAAGAGAAGAAGAAAAAGAGGAAGAGATTTTTCGAAAAGGAAAAAAGGAAGAGACGAGGAAGAAAAGAAAAGAAAAGAGGAAGAGACGAGGAAGAAAAAGAAAAGAGGAAAGACGAGGGGAAGAAAAATAAAAGGGAAGAGATGAAGAAAAGAAGTCCTAAGAAAAGACGAGGAAGAAAGAAAAACAGGAAAAGACGAGGAAGAAAGAAAAAGAGAAAGAGAGAGGAACAAGAAAGAAGAAAAACTTGGAGACGAGAAAAAAGAAGAAAAGAGGAATAGATGAAAAAGAAGAAAACTGGAAAGGAGGAGGAAAAAAAAAAATGGAGGAAAGAAGAAAAGGGAAAGAAAAGAAAAAGAGGAAAGAAAGGAAGAAAAAAAAAAAAAAAGAGAGAAGACGAGAAAGAAAAAAAAGAGGGAATAGGAAGGAGGGGAAAGGAAGAAAAATGAAGAGAGAAGAAAGAAAAAAGAGGAAAGACGAGAAAAGAAAGAAGAAAAGAGGAAGAATGAAGAAAAGAAGAAAAGAGGAAGAAGAAGAAATGAAGAAAGAAAAGAAGATGAAAGAGGAAGAGATGAAGAATGAAGAAAAGAGGAAGGAAGAAAAAGAAAAAGGAAGAGACGAGAAAAAAAAAAGGGGAAAGTCTGGAAGAAAGAAGAAAAGAGGGAAGAGATGAAGAAAGAAGAAAAGAGGAAGAGATGAAGGACGAAAGAGGAAAGAAGAAAGGAAGGCGGACAGAAAGGCGAGGAAGAAAAAAGGAAGGAAAGAAAAAAAAAGGTAAGAATGAAAAAAAGAAGAAGAAGGAAGAGAAGAAAGAAAAAGAGGAGAGAGAAAGAATAAAAGAAGATGGAAGAGACAGAAATGAAAGAGACGAGGAAGAAAGAAGAAAAATAAAGAGAAGGAAGAAAGAAGAAAAGAGGAAGGAAGAAAGAAAAAAGAGGAAGAGACGAGGAAGAAAAAGAAAAAAGAAAAGAGACGAGGAAAAAAAAAAATGAAGAAACGATGAAGAAAGAAAATAGTGGGAAGAGAAGATGAAGAAAGAACACAAAAGGAAAAGCCGGAAGAAAGAAGAAAGCGGAAGGGAAGAAAAGGAAAGAAAAAAAGGAAAAGAAAGAAAGAAGAAAAGAGGAAGGAAGGAAAGAAGAAAATAGGAAAGACGAGAAAGAAAGAAGAAAAGAGGAAGAGATGAGGAAGAAAGAAGAAAAGAGGAAAATGAAGAAAGATGAAGAAAAAAGGCCGAGGAAGAAAGAAGAGGAAGAAAGGTGAAAAAGGAAGAAAGAAAGGGGAAAGAAGAAAGAAAGAAGAAAAAAGAAGAGGAAGGAAGGAAAAAAGAAGAAAGAAGGAAGAGATGAAGAAAGAAGAAAAAGAGGAAGAGACGAGGAAGAAAAAGAGATGAAAAAGAAGGAAGAGATGAAGAAAGAAGAAAAAGGAAGAGATGAAAAGATGAAGAAAAAAAAGAGAGAAAACTAGAAAGAAGAAAAGGGGAAAGAGAAGAAGAAAGAAGAAAAAAGGAAGAGGAAGAAAGAAGAAGGAAGGAAGATGAAGAAAGAAGAAAAGGAAGGAAGGAAGGAAGGAAGAAAAAGAAAAGAGAAGAGACGAGGAAGAAAAAGAAAAGACGGAAAGGAGGGAAGAAGAAAAAGAAAAAAAAAGAGATGAAGAAAGAAGAAAAGAGGAAAGACGAGGAAGAAAAGAAGAAGATGAAGAAAGAGAAGACAAAAAAGAAAAAAATAGATGAAGAAAGAAGAAAAAGAAATTGGAAGATGAGGAAGGAAGAAGAAAAAGGAAGGAAGGAAGGAAATGAAAAAAGGAAGAATGAGGAAAAGGAAGAAAAAAGAGGAATGAAGAAAAAGAAATCACGAGATGTAAAAAGAAAAGAAAGAGAGGAAGGAAGGAAAAGGAAGGAAGGAAGGAAGGAAGGAAAAAAAAAGACTAGACGAGGAAGAAAGAAGAAAGAGGAAGGATGAAAAAGAAACAAGAATGAAGGAACATCGAAAGAAAAGTGAGGGAAGAAGAAAAAGACAGAGGAAGAAAAGAAGAAAAGATATGAATAACGGAAGATTAGGTGGAAGGAAGAAGAAAGGAAAAAAGAAGGAAAGACAAAAGAAGAAAAGAAAAGAAAAGGAAAGAAAGAAGAAAGGAAAAAAAAAAAAAGGCAAGATGGAGGCAAAAAAGACAAAAACGAAGGAAAGGCAGGAAGAAAGATAGTAAGATATGAAGGAACACAAAAGCAAAGAGACCGAAAGACTAGGCAAAAGGCAAGAAAAGAAGGAAAGAAAGGAAGAAAAAGGAGGAAAAATGAAAATGAAAAAGAAGAAAGAGGAAGAAGGAAGGAAGAAGAAAAAAAAGACAAGTCGAAAGGAAGACAAAAGAATGATGAAAGGAAGGTAGAATGATAAATAGAACGAAGGCAGAGAGACTCGACGGAAGGCAAGCAGCAATACAGGAATGCAGTTATTCAAGAAGGAAGGAAGACTTCATGAAATGACGAGAAAGCAAAAGATTAAAATGAAGGAAGAAAAGAAGGAAAAAAAGAAGGAAAGATGGAAAAGGAATGAAAAAGACGAAAGAAACGAAAGAACAAAGATAGGTCGAAAAAAAAAACACGGAATAGAAAAATGAAGGCAGAAAGACAAGACGGAAGTAAAGGAGAAAGGGAAACAAATGAATGAGATGAAAAGAGAAAAAAAGAATGCAAACCAAAAGAGAAGGCGAAAGAAGAGTAAGTAGGGAGGAAGGAAAAAAGAAAGAGACGAAGATAAAAAAAATAAAGGAAGAGAGAATGATAGGTGGGTGGGGGGAAAGCAGAATGTCAACCAATGACAAAGATGAAGGAAGGCAGAAGGAAAAACGAAACAAAAGGAAAAGAACAGTGTGGGAAGGAAGACACTTTGGTAGGGAGGGTAAAAGACGAAAGAAGACATATAGGCTAGAAGAGGACGAGATGGAAGAGAAACAACGACAAAAAGCAAATACGTTTTTCTTAATAATTTCACTCCAAGCAAGGCGATAAAGTCACTAAGATGAAAGATCTTACTGAGACTGAAGGAAACTGAGTAAGAGTTATTGAGGAGAAAGGACAATAAAAGAACGGAAAACAAAGAGACAGAAGATGACGTTTGAAGGTTGCATTGAAAACTTTGTAGATTGTAGCTGACAGGAAATCAGAAAGCTGGCCGAGACTTCTATGGGCGAGAATAAACTATTAGAATAGAATTTAAGGTTATATTTAGTGATTTCAACAGTAAAATACATATTAAAGGAAAAAATGTCAACTTGCATTATTTGGACTGTTATCCTCATCATCATTGCCATACTCAGAACGTTTCGGCTGTTGTACGCTCCGGCCCTCTTCAGGTGAACCGAACCGAACCCTTTATTTCGCCCATCGGGGTAGATTGTTCTAGTTCCACATGCCACGCCTCATCCGGATGTCTCAGTTATTTCCCTTTAACTCAACTCTCCAAATTTTGGTTCATCACTGCTGTGGCCTGGTATTGAGCTCATAACTCTTTGGGTCTAGTCAATGGATCTAACCAACGTCTTTATCCACTGAGCCATGTGAAGATGGCCCGGAGCGTACAAAGGCTGAAGCGTTGTGAACATGGCAATGAAGAAGGGGATAACAGTCCGAATGATGTAAATAGCGCAAGTAATCATAATACCTCATCTCAGAGATATAGACAAAAAAAAAAAAAAAAAAATGACTGTTTTCTATTTCCTTTCAGTTTTTTCTGTATTCTCATTTTCACGTTAGATAAATAGCGTAAATGTAATCTATTATGGCCGGTAGGTTTTCGGATGACAATTTGAATCAATTTAAAAATAAATAGACGCGCAACATAAATCGTCAAACAATTTACAGGAAACCTGCTTTATTGTTTCTCGGTACATCGATAGATTCGCAACTGATTTGTTAAATGGGGTAGAAAATCAATACAAAACCAACAGGTACACAAAAGAACACACCCCACCTACCTACCACACGAGTATTTCTTCTACCAATATATATATATATATATATATATATATATATATGTGTGTGTGTGTGTATGTATGTGTCTGTATGTGTGTATTTAGGCTGCAATGCTTCTTTCATGCACATTTCATTGAATACGAAAGACAAGGTGCTTTGATTTATTTTTTTTTATACAATTTCTCAGGTGATCTAATAATTCTTTTCTTCAGTGGATAAATTATATAAAAACTGTCCAATTGTTCTTTCTTTACGAGCGCTTTCGGCTATACATTTAGCCATTTTCAAGGTTGAAATATATTAACTGTTAACAAGAAATAGATTGTTGTATGGATGTATGTATTCATATAATGTTTTAATTTTCTAAACACGGCCATGATATTATGTCCATGTTCATAGTTGATGTTATAGAGTGTTGTTTTTTTTTTAGTTTTTATCAAAAGGCTTCCATTATTTTTAGCCATTTTTTGCATGTAGATGATGCTATTATACTTGTGTTGTCAAGAGGTATGTAACGAATAGAGTTGGGTAAGTCTTCATGAGTATATTTTATGATATTACATTAAAAACATGTAAAAAACGCTGCACAAATGCAGTCATTTTTCGATGTCTATCAACTATATTACACTACTACTTTTGTCTTTCAAATTGAATGTTACGGGCGTTGGAATTTGATTCTGTTCTTTCACATTTCTCTCTCTCTCTCTCTCTCTCACACACACACACACACACACACACACACACACACACACACATATATATATATATATATATATATATTTCTCAGAGTTAACCTGTTGAAAAAGACAATATATATAAAGGTAAAAGACAATAGGAAATCTGTAATATTAGCCGACGCGTTTCGTCCAATGTGGACTTTTTCAAGGCAAAAGCGAAATGAATTTATTAAAACGAAGTAACTATTAGGTTGGTGCAAAAATAATGACGTAAGAATGCCGTTTTTTGACGTTAAAAAATACGTCAAAAAACGACATTATTACGTCATTAGTTTTGCACCAACCTAATATTAACAACAAAAAAATCTTGTTAACAAGGACATAATTGTTGTTGTCAATAGATATTATTACTAACGCCTTTATCCACTGTGCCATTTGTCCTTGAGGACATCTGTGTATGAGTTTCTGGGACTTATAAACCTAATGTATTCAGCAACCATTTTTACCAGTGCCCATATTGCAATTTTTGTTGTTACTATTGCTTTTCTCTGGCACTCCTCATTACTGGTTCCCATATTGTATTCATTTCGTTGCTTGGCTGGCTCAGGAGATTTTTGTGGCCTAGCATATGTGCTGATTCGTTAAGTTTACGAATTTTCCAATGATGTTCTTTGTCTATGATTTCAACATGATTCCACAGAGGGCGGTGATCTCCATTTTCTCTCCATATGTGGTCAGCCACGCCTGATTTTTCTACTTTTCCTTGTGTTACAGCTTTTTGGTGTTCTTGAAGAATCCCTTCAGGAGGCGACTTGTCCCCCCCGCCCCATTATATTTCGTTCCGCAACTGCACGGGATGAGAGGTATCTACGAAGCTTTTAAAGATTGTCCTGATGGACCGCAAATCCTTTGTATTTTCTCCGATATATAATTGTGTATCATTTTATATATCAATAGTGTTTAGAAAAATAGTATGATAAATTGGAAAAAAACAAAACTTTCTGTGACGCGTTTCATCCGTTACGATTTCATCGGACTGGGCTTTGTTGATGTTGCCACGTCTACACATGCGCACGAAACGAGAGACGCTGGTCGTTTCAAAATTTTTGAAAAAGTATTTTTGAAAGAATATTTTTGAAAGAATATTTTTTCAATCCCGCCAAATTCATCTCCATTCTTTTTCTTTTTCTCTCCATCACTTTTTATTCCTGACTATCCCACATTGTGAAAATAGAAAATATGCCAAGAATGATGATATGCTGCAAGTGCCTGGACTGGACACAAATTTACAGTAGCTGACCTAGGAATTTGAAGAAGGAATAAACTCTATCAAGTGCTGGAATTGCTAGAATAAATACATTGGAGAAACCTCAAGTTTATACAAATGACTATATGAACACAAAACGGACATTTTCAAAAACAACACACTAAACGCATTTTTTGTTCACCGTAACGAAACTGACCACAATTTTGACATAGGGAATGGTACTTTGATTAAGAGAGAAAATAATCTATTGAGACGAAAATGTCTGGAAAGTGCTTTGATCGCTCGTTCATACATGGTAAATTTACATCCTGGGTCTTACAATATATCACCATTCTTGGTAGCTTTTCTGTTGTCACAATGTGGGATAGTCAGAGATAAAGGTAATGAGGAGAAAAAGAAAAAGAATACAGATGAATTTGGCTAAAGTGAAAAAATACTCTTTCAAAAATTTTGAAACTACCAGAATCTCTCGTTTCTTTCGCATGTGTCGACGTGTCAAATTCAACAAATCCCAGTCCGATGAAATATTAACGGATGAAACGCATCACAAACATGTTTTCACTGTCATACTATATATTTATATATATATATATATATATATATATATATATATATATATGGTTGGATGGATGTGAGTTTGTGACCCTGGGTTTCACGCTTTAGCGATCGTCAGACAAACTGATTAATGTTTTAAAAATTTGGGGTTTATGTAGATTGCGTGTATTGGTGTTATTGTGGAAGTGGTGGGGAAAATTTCGTCGTTTTGTCATTCATCGTACTAACGCAAACATCGATATATGCAGACACATATACATACTTGGTCGTCCGTCGGGACTCATACATATATAAACATATGTGGGCAGTTTCGGCTATGACACATGTATGTATACGGGTGGTGTTATATCTATACATACGCATTTGTATGTTGAAATGTTGAAATTTAAACATTGGAAGTGTGGCGGAAATGTCTCGTTACTGTATACATGTCATATTAAGTGTTTTCCCGCTGAAAAATATTTCCTCGCATGTATGTATATGCGTGTGGTGGGGTTTGTGTAAAATTATGATATGTGTAAAAATTATTATTATTTATTTTTAAATTTTTAAAAAAAAAATGGGGTTTATATGTTATATTTAAAGCTGGTTATTTGTACCGCGCATATAATATATAAATAATTATACATACTTATATGTTGTTGTAGGATCCACCTAATTTGCATAGTGGAGTACCGATCATATAAATATGGTTGGTACCGGGAAGACGAGGGGAGGAATCAAGAGATTCAATCCAGAGTCTCTGCCCGACTGCGACTAAGTCAACACATTCTCCAGGAACGGTCTTCCCAAGAATATACAAAAGTCTATATGTAAATATTGTGTACCTTTCTTGTTTCAATACATTTTGTTTTAAGTACATTTTGTGTTGTATTATTATTCCATGCATTAGTCAAGTTTCAACATTATATTTATTTATATTTATAAACACTTTTCTCACACACACACACACACACACACACACACACACACACACACATATATATATATATATATATATATATATATATATATATATATATATATATATATCATCATCATCAAAACTGTTTCGATTTGAGGTCAGGTATTACCATGTTCTCTCATCTTCAGAGACATTGTATACTGTTTCAATAATATCTTGTCAGCCTTCTCCGTACTCTGCGAGTTAGCAGATTCGTTGCAGATCTTCCTTGATTGTAAACTTCTCCAAAGGTAAAGTGGTAAATTTCTGCCTTGTTCTTTGAATGTCTCGGTTCGGCGTTGTGACTATAGTGGTTCTTGGATGACCTCTGAACTTTTAGAAGTCAGTCCTTTCAAAGTAAAACTCCATAGCTTTGTTAGCTGGGCCTTCTGGATCCATTCTGTTTGTTGACATTCGTATGTTTTTTTTTTTTCTTGAACAGTGAGTTGCATTACAGACATACGGTCTGATATTTTCCAACATCGACGTACATTATTCCTCCATTT